GATCAACACAATTAACTGATTTTTGAAATATATATACAGAGCCAAAAAGTCTTTGTGTATTCAAAAAATATCTAATTTGTTTGTGTGCGCGGGGTGCGGTGTACGGTGCAGGGGGGACCCTGCCTCCACCGTTGCTGGAGCTTGCATGTATGGAGCATTGCGAATATAAAATATCTACATTAGTAAATTAATAAAGTCATAATTGATAGACCGTTACGGTATCTATATATATTCGGATGAAAGTAAGTATCGCAGTAAGGACGAGTATATAAAGTGATCAACATAATTAATTGATTTTTGGAATATATTCAGAGCCAAAAAGTCTTTGTGTATACCAAAAATTTAGCCGTTCGGAGCCATTCAGTCACGAATTATTAGTAAAAAAAGTGTCGAGTATATCGTACTATCGACGAATATATATGGCCGCATCGCAAAATAGAATGCGACGTTGCCATACCGCCTGAGATATACGCGATAGAGGTCAAGTTATTCAGTGCAAAAGGTGGAATCAGCAAGTGTTTAGGTTGTGGCGTGATCAACAAAGTGCCCAAAGAGGTGTTTATATATATATATATATATATATATATATATGTAATACATGTACACCCGTGCGAAGCCAGGGCGAGTAGCTAGTTACTATTATAAACGCGAAAGTTTGTGAGTATGGATGGATGTTTGTTACTATTTCACGCAAGAAGTACTGAACGGATTTTGATGAAACTTTACAGTAATATAATCTATACATCAGAATAATATATAGGCTATAAATTTAACGTGTGTGAAACCAAATACTACTGTGGTATACTGACCGAATTAATCTTAACACAAAAAAGTCAAAGAAAAAGTTTCATCGTTCTAGCTTTCAAAATGACGAATTTCCAAACAAGCTTTCATCCTTTATTTTATTGTTTCTTTGCCTTTTATTATTTGTATTAGATTATTTAATATTTCTTCTTTATTAGGTCCACGCGGACGAAGGCGCGGGCGCAGTTAGTACTACATAATCATCGTTTTAAAGAAGGTGGCAACCCTACGTGTATCCGCCTCATCGAATTCTTTATTATATTGTAAGGTAGAGTATGTATATCAATTACCAACCCTATGTAATATATATTTTGTTCACTGCGGAACAAAGTTTTTTTTATCTAACTTTATTTCGGGGTTTTTGTTTTTAAACATGTCAACCCCATTATAACAAACTAATCGGAACAATTCTTAAAAATACAAGTTGTTCACTATTCACAATAATACGCACGGCAACATCGCAATATCCAATGCCCTAAATAATATTAAAAAAAATATATATATAAAGAGATTACGAGGGTGGGAGTCGTTTCGCCTTTGTCGTTGTCGAAAAAGCGTTCTGATTATCGCTGTCGTAATTGTCGATATTTTATATAGATTTGTTAACTAAAGTCGTGAATATTCTTAGTTTAAGTACGAAACAATAAAGGAACGCAAGAGTTGATACTGGAGAGCACCTATTGTCGGTTTTGGCGGTAAACAGGTAACCCGTTCAAAAGGTAAGTTCGGACAAGCCCGGAGTTCTGGGAAGCCTTGCTGAAACCGGCAATCCTCGCAGTACAAGGTGAGTGCCTTCCAAATTATCAATTTCTTGCTCAAATCCTATTGTCGTAAATACAGTCCACTAAAGACAGCTGCATTCAAAATTATATGTTAGAAAGAAAGAAAGAAAGAAAGAAAGAAAGAAAGAAAGAAAGAAAGAAAGAAAGAAAGAAAGAAAGAAAGAAAGAAAGAAAGAAAGAAAGAAAGAAAGAAAAATATTTTATTGTTAGCTGTTTTCATAACACAAGTATAATACAATTAACGACTGCCTGGCATTGTACTTACACCATACTGCTTTAAGTAGATAATAATGAATAAATAAAATAAATATCCCTGAACAAGTAACACAGCTCTATCTAGTCCCTTGGTAAGCAGAACTTCTGTTATGGGTACTAGACTACTGATAGAAGTCATACAAATATTAAAAATGGGAAAGTGAAGTAAAGTTTGTGAGTATGGATGGATGGTTGTTACTTTTGTCATGCAAAAAACTATAGAACGGATTTTGTTAAAACTGTGCAGTAATATAATAAATAATAATAATAATAATCTCAGGACAATTCACACAGCGCCATCTAGACCCAAGTTAAAGTAGCTAAAGGTTGTGTTATGTGTACTAGATAACTGATATAAATACATAGATAATTTTTTTCCCGTAAATATATACATATTATACATAGAAAATACCCAGACCGATACAAACAATCATACTCATGAATACAAATGTTTGTGCCGTGCGAGAAATCGAACCCGCGACCATCGGTCGTAAAGCGGTGTGCTAGACCGCTAGACCATCGAGGTCGACGAGCTCGCTATATAGCTTATGGAACACATATTTATCTCGCAAGTCTCAATATATGAACCAAATTTGACAGGTTTATGTGAAAGAGTTTTTGAGTTATGAGGTCAAAAGTGGCTCCAAATGGTTCGTGTATAACCACACACGGTGCTGCTCGCCAGTCTCTTACTTGAACTCGTCTTTGACACCCTCCCGTTTGTCTAGATACATCACAATAACATATAGGTCATAATTTAAACAAATATAATGTAAATTGGGCGAAATATTATGATAAATGTCATGTAAGTGTGATGCAGACGAAGTTACGAGGGTAAGCAAGCGAGCTACGTAAATACATACATATTACAAACTAATCGGAACAATTCTTAAAAATAATAAACAATCACATAATTACCAACTGCGAGGGAGCTATTTATTAAATTTCTTTTATCAGCGCACACAAACAGCGCAATATCAGTAGTAGGGGCATGTAGCATGCTCCGAATAGTGCCCATTTCAAAGTTTTTTTATTTTAAAATTGAAACTAAGTTGCAATTTTTTCATTTATTTTTACTTACTGGCCCGCATAATTTCTGTGTCCCATTTTTGCAATAGTTTTCTTTTTTTTTTATACTACTATGGTGGCAAATAAGCATACGGCCCATCTGATGGTAAATGGTTACCGTAGCCCATGGACGCCTGAAGCACCAGGCTTCCATTGCAACTCCGCTCCTATTGCTCAGCTCCTTAGCGTTATGTTATAAGCTAGAAGTCTATAACACTCACAAATAATGTGGCTTCGTGCGAGGATTAGAACGTACGACCATCGGAAGTAAGGCGGAGTGTTCAACCACTAGACCACTGAGCTTACACTTAAACGTTTTATGATACAGACTTTGTGCGTATGTAACCTAGGGTCGCCAACCATACTTTATAAAAATGTATCCTAATGTATCCTACTTTATTTTTGGTAATTTTACTTTTACATACAAATTTGCAGACTTTGCAAAAATACTTTATTTTAAACGTGAAAGTGAAAATCCTGTGCATGAACAACTATTGCCATGCATGTTTGTTACATTATTTGATTTTTTTTTATTATTACTGAACTGGATGGTAGGGAACAAATTACTACAAATATCACTACAAAAAGATTACGTTCATAAGCGGCTAAAACTAACTATACAAACTATAGTATAGTTAGTTCTATATAAAGTTCTTTTTCTGTAAATATATTTTTTATGCACAATAAAGAATATTATTATCAACTTTAAAGTAGTGTAATGAAATAATAACATTTTTTTTATCAAACCACAATCATTTACAGGTATTCATTCATTTTTATAAACAAGTAGCTGTGCCCGCGACTTCGTTCGCGTAAAATGACGATACTTACATATAACCTTTCATCCCCTTTCAACCCCTTACAACCCTTTTTTTGCATTGTAAATTAGCCTATGTCTTTTGTCAAAGTCTAGACTTTCTGTGTTGTGTCTAAAATTTCTTTTAAATCTGTTGAAAGCGAGACGAGACAGACAGACAGATAGAGTTACTTTCGCATTTATAATATAAGAAAGGATTTGTTGTGACTGTATGAGCCTGTGAACTGAACTAGGCAATGAAAATACAATAATTCTTTTTTTGTAAATATTTATTTTATGCACAATAAACAGTAATATTATTATCAACTTTAAAGCAGTGTACTTAATGTAAGTACAATTAGTGCCAGGCATTCGTTAATTCTATTATGTTTGTATGTTGTTTCTTTTACCTCGTTCTGAACAAAAGACTCATGGGTCAGTGCACTCGGATGCACTAATTTACATCAGGTTACATTAAGTTAAGTTTTATTTTACAAAAAAAAAACGTATAATCTGGTTTGGATAGCAAAAAAATAAAGTATGTATTAGGAAAAATAAGTATTTTTAAATTTTATGTGTTTATTGCTTTAAAGTCGTATTTTGGTGTGCTTTTAACACTAGAGCTGTGACAAATGTCGCAACTCACAATTGACGTCTAACATTTCGTTCAGTAATTATGTATACCCATAATGGGTAATTTGTATTACGCATCACAGTATAGGTAAAAATGTTAAGTGTCTTTAAGGGGGTAAAATAAAATAGGGAATAAGTGTTTGTATAGAAATTCGTCATTTTTGAAGCTAGAACGATGAATCTTTTTTTCTTTGGGTTAGATTAAAAATTCTAGCAATTACTTGCTAGCAATAATTCAAAAATGACAAATTTCTATACAAACATTTGTTCCTTATTTTATTTTTATATATTAAGTAAAGGTAACATTTTTACAAACTATGACTGTCATATTTATTTATATTTAATCAACAGCTTAAGAGATAAATTTCAACCTAGCTAGCTTTAAATATGATGATATTTCTATAGAAACTTTTATCTCCTCTTTCAACCCATTTATTGCATTATAAAGTAGACTATGTCCTTTCGCAGGGTCAAGACTATATGTGTACCAAAATCCATATAAATTGGATCAGTAGTTTTGTCGTAAGACAGACAGACAGTTACTTTCACATTTATAATATTGGTAAGAATATCAATATATTAGTTTTATAATTTTAATTGATATGTATGTTTGTCTATATGGGTCTAGTAGCCTAAAATAAATATATGGCTGTTCTACTTACATAAGGGCATCAGTGAATCTCAGTATGGGAGCCATCTGTAGCACCAGTATGACCACTCTGAGCCATTTACGCTTCGTGAATTCGTTGCTGACAGAGTTCTGCTGTTTGTCTTGTGAATACCTGAAAATTACACATATTTTTAGATTGAACAAATCAAAATATTCTTATTCATGTAGCTCTATTACTGATTCTAATGATGTGTAAGAAAGAGAAATGATATCCAAGAGAACAAAAGGAAAATAAGGGCGGCAGAAAAAGAGGTGGGAGGATGATATAAAATGATATATCAGTGGCGGGACCAACATAGAGGAGGAAGGCATTGGATAGAGGAGCCTGGAGTCTTTTGGAGGAGGCCTATCTTGGGACAAGTTGATGATTGTCAGCACAAAGGCTATAAATAAAAATAAATGTTTAATAAAAAAATTATATGTAAAAGTCTATGGAAAGTTCGGAGTGCAATCAAGGTGAGAAATTTCTTCTCAACAAGAAACTCAGCCCTTATATTTTTTAAATGAACTTGTACATGTTTACAATAAAACAGATTAATTTTTGCTTGTATTCTTTTCAAATAAATGTTGTACATGTTTGCAATTTTCAAGATTCGTTTTTAATTCAAATTTGGGAGAATAGAGTGACCAGTAGCATATGCTATTGCAATTTTATCAAAGGAAATAGTCTAACCAGTAACCAGAACATATAATAATATAATTTTTTTTTTCCTTTTCTCTTTCCAATTGCCATCAGCCTTATGGCTATAATCAGATATATTGTATTTTATAATAATATTTATTTATTGCCAGAACAAAAGATAGATATAAATTTGAGTTTGTACACTATTTGGTGAACAAACACTATAAAAAAAGGAACCTTTTAAACTATGTATAAAATAGCAACAGTAGGACCTCATACTATGTATTCTGGACAAAAGGGGCTGCCTCAGCTGATGCTGTGAGCGTAATGTTTACATGTACGTTGCACAGCGCTGATTTTCAGTCAGTCCCTCTCATTTAACGAAATATAAAATTATGCGAGCTGCTTAACAGTCCAAGAATTGATAATTTTTACAATTTTTTACAAATAAAACATAGAAAATTCAAATAAAATAAAAAGATATAAATATAGATGAAATATCGCATTGTAAAATAACTAAATTATATGTGTAGCAAATCAGTCACAAGCAGCACCCATTTACGAGTATATCTATAGATAGATAAGAATTATACAATACAGAAACAATGCAATGGAATATTGGTAAATCTGTGTGTGTCACAGAAATACAAAATGCTCATAGCTCAGTGTGGAGAATCCCTCAAGGATCAATTTTTATTACTGAAGGCACCATGAGGGCAACATGAGGTCAGGTTAGTTGAGAAAGTCACTAGGAATTTATAACAATGCTGTAACACAGATTTCAAACAATAATATGATAGGTGAGACAGGTATCAACGCATATAACTTTGTATAAAAACTACTAGGATATATCAGGTAGCCTTTAGTAAAAATAATATAAATTAAATATTTTACTTTACTTACATTCTGATTGAAATTGCAGTGTTCACAAACGCAGGCAGAAGTATGAAAGCTAAAGTCCAACCAAATGCAACTATTTTTCCCGCCAAATAGTACCGTACAGCTACATTTATGTCGAAACCGAGGTCTACGAAGTGGCCTATTATAGCCACAACGTACATTACTAGATCCAAATTAGTAATCGAAATATTACTGGGCATTCGATCCGTTTCGTCGTATGATATACCATTTTGTAAAAGTTCACGCACTGCTTTTGTCATGTTTAAAGATAAATAATGCACTGTTTATATGAAAGGAAATAGAATAACAATGTAGGAACACAAAATCGTAAAAACTAAATTCAAATTTTTAAAACATTGTTGACAAAACACATGTTGAACAAACAAACAACTGCACAGAGGAAAAAAATACAGAGTAGTTTCGAACACAAACTGAAATTGAAAAGAAAAGACACGACTTTCTTTGAAACTGCATAACAATGCAAGTAATGCAACACATTTCAATCGTGAGTTGTCACTGTCACTGTCAATTTTGTCTGCTTATATGCCAAGGGTTACCAGATCATAAATGCAGTTACCCTACCCTTACCTACCTTACATTCATGTTAAACTATAAACTTCCATTTTTTGATTGTATTACTCACTAAACAATTACTTCAATGACGAGCGTGCATGGCAATAGTCGTTAATGCATGAGATTTTCATTTAATGGTAGACATAGACATCTATATAAATAAACAATGTATACTAGCTTTTTTTTTTTTAAAGAAAGGGAAATTTAATTTACTTTCTTGGCAGTTCGTCTTCATTGAGTCCGTATACTGGACTGGACGTAAGAAAAAAATATTATATAAAAAAAATTACGTTCATAAACGGCTAAAATGTCCTACATGAATAAATGAATTTTGAATATTATTCATCATGCAATAAGATTTTTATTGAACTATTGAAGTATGGTTGATTTTTTTTTATTTTAATATTAAAATTGTACTTGATTATTTTAAAAGGATAATCATATAAGGTACATTTGCCACGACACTGTCGAATTAACTTTACTACATCATCATAGTATTATCTTCTATTGAAATGCGGTCATCTAAGGATGAGACATTGTACTAAACTGCGACACTACCGACATAAACACTACGTTATCATTAGGTAAAACATGTACAAAATAACACGTATTATATTCTAAGTAGATACTACATAGAAATTCCGCCTCGGATATTGTATCTTTACTATTATCATAGACAAAATATACCTACCTAATGTTATAATATTTTTTATACTACTGGGTATTGTAGGGTCATAGATACTTCAATAAAACTAATTATAAAATTCTTACCTGTATGATAAGTTTATTCAATTTATGATTGTAGAAATTAGAATATACAGACTTGTTTATATTCATATATATATGTGTTTTCACATTTTCCGTAAATTATATTTCATTCATAATATCATTATTTCAGGATAATACACACAGGACATAATTATAACGCAGGATAAATCACATAGCACCATTTAGTTCCAAGCAGAGCTTCTGTTCTGAGTACTAGACTGATATAAATACATATATACATACATTGAACCGTGCAAAGACTCAAACCCGCGACAAGGCCGTTAATGAAAGTAATCTGCAACACTGTTAGGTTTCAAGACGTCCATTTCACAATATGTGTGATAAATTACAGTGCATGAGACTGCACTGCAATTTTCCTAGCTTAAAGTAATTAATATAAAGTTTTCAGTACATCATGCGAAGATAAGTTTGCCGCGAATAGTGTTATGAATAATGGCTCTTGGAGTCTCTGCTGGCTTTTCGTCCTGAAATATAAATGACATAATAATAATAATAAAATATTTTCATGGCTGTAATCACAGATGAATAAATTATATCAGTCTGGGGGCCTTTGCAGGCTTTTAGTTTGAAAATAAGTAATAATAATAATAATCTCAGGACAATTCACATGGACCATCTAGACCCAAGTTAAGCTAGCTAAAGCTTGTATTACGAGTACTAGATAATTGAAACGAATACATAATTTGTTTCCATAAATATATACATATTGTACATAGGAAACACCCAGACCGACACAAAGAATTATACTCATGAATACAAATGTTTGTACCGCGCGAGGAATTGAACCCGCGACTATAGGAAATAAGACGGTGTGTTAAACCGTTAGACCACCGAGGCAGTCTCAATGGCCGTTAATAAAATACCTATTCATAACTGTAATCTCAGAATAAGTAAACATAGGTACAGGGGATGGGGGTGGACTCATTAGTAAAGTACAGTAATGAATCCGTTACTAGCATGGTGGTTTCATTCCACCAGGATCCATTCTAATCATGTCAGGTTAACTCCACGCAGTTCTCCGTGGAAACAACCGTAATTAGTTACTGAATTTCTCACGATGGGATGAGCTGACCTATTCATCATCATCATCATCTGCTTCTTCCTTGACCCATTTATTTTTGGTCATCGTAATATGTTTTTCTCTTCCATTCATCCCTGTTCGCAGTCATCGCGTTATTTACTTCCTTTCTTGCCATATCATCTTTCACACAGTCCATCCATCTCTTTTTCGGCCTTCCTATGCCCTTATAACCATCCACATTCATCTTAACACATAATGACATACATGACCTATTATCATCCTTCACTAGTAAATATCTGACCTGCGAAATTTCTTCTGCATCACACTTACTTGATGTATATATTATATTTTGCCCAATTTACATAATACCTTATTGCCTGTGTTATTCTGATGAATAAGTTGTATTACTGTAAAGTTTCACCAAAATCCGTTAAGTAGTTTTGTGTGAAAGAGTAACAGACATCCACCCATCCATCACTCCACAGATACTCATAAACTTTGGGGTTTATAATATTAGTAATATGTAAAATAAACGAACAGCTCTACGGACATTACATCATCATGAGAAGTCCGTGATATGCATGCAATCATTCACTGCCATTCTAGAGGACTAAGATATCATCCCTGTCTTTTATCCTGTATTTTCTCTGCCTAATCGCATACATATTGCATTTTGAAGTAGATAATATGAGAAACTCTAACCTTTCCTTTAACAACTTCACTAATGGACCCCATTTCTCAGGGAAAACAGTTTTATTGTTTCCGCTTGTCTTTCACGAGATCTGCTATAGATTGCATTGCATTCACCACCCTTAAATATTGGCAGTTGTTCGTGTAGGAATTCAGGAGGAGCTGTTCAAAGAACTTGGGGACAAAATCGCCGATGCATGTCTGAACATTGTAGAGGGAGTGATTCATTTCTTGGACGTGTTGAAGATGTCATCCCTGTCTTTTATCCTATAATTTCAATTTTTGAACTAGGTAATTCGAGAAATACTAACCTCTCTTTTAACAACTTCACTAATGGACCCCATTTCTTAGGGAAAACAGTATTATTGTTCTTCCGTTTGTCTTTCACGAGATCTGCTATAGATGCATTCACCACCCTTAAATATTGGCAGTTGTTCGTGTAGGAATTCAGGAGGAGCTGTTCAAAGAACTTGGGGACAAAGTCGCCGAAGCATGTCTGAACATTGTAGAGGGAGTGATTCATTTCTTGGGCGTGTTGTCGAGTCTTTATTTCCACTATCGTGACGAGACTCTCTTGCATTGTTTCATTGAAACTAGAAAAAAGTAAAAGAAAGAGTGTGACGGTCATCACCTCATGACTGTAGCGTTATGTATGATGTGATGAGGTGTCGCTACTTGATTTATTTCTTACCTGTAGTATCTAGGTAGTGAGTAGGTACAGAGGTGTAATAATTATACTACATTAGTAAGTTTATTTTGATAGTGTGCTACATGGCTTACGCGTACACTCAATGCGAAGTCTTAACGTGGCTGACTTTACACTGAATATAAATCTAAGTTATGTGGAGACCGAAACAAAGTGCCGAGTGTTAACAGAAATATTACAAGTGTAAGCACAAAACATTTGAATAGTTGTAACAGAGGTACAACGAGGGATTAAAAACACAGATACGATGACGCGTCGTATATTGCTCACGCTTCACTTGCTGAAGCTTGCTTTAGATAATTTTTTCTGCTTTCAATTTTAACTACCTTTTACTGTGGACCTTTTGCTATAAAATAAAATGGTATTTATTGGATAAATGCTTAGAAACTCATAATTACTATCGACTTCAAATAAATACAAACGAGAACAATAAAACAAAAGTTTTATGTACCTTTTGTGTATATTATCAGCATTAGCAACAATAAATGAAATTTGTCACAGAATACTGCTCTATTTCAAAACTACTCTGGTTTATTCTAAATAATCTATATCTATATATTTTTTTATACTACGATGGTGTCCAACAAGCCTACGGTGCATTTGATGGTATACTGTTTCCGTAGCTTATGGATGCCTAAAACACAGGGGTCTAACGTACGCGTTACCTTCAGAAACCTTACTATACCCTTCTTGAAAAACCCCATGCTGTAGTACCTATAAGAATATTAAATGAAGATTATCAGACATCTATGGTGTTTATAACAATGATCACTATTGAACGCTTACTACAGCTTTGTAATGCATTTATGAATTGCGATTTTTATAAAGCCTTTATAACAGGGTAATAATAGATTTCTAAAGGTTTCGTATTGTTTATGAATAAGAACGTTACAAATTATGTACGAGATACAGCATAAGTTCAAACAAACATGAGTTGGCGAATTATCTTACAGAAAGAAATACCGCTTGGATGATAACTTACAGCACAGCTTGATGTAATATGCAATGAGCTGCTGCCACCTCATCAGGTAATTCTTTACGACAATTATTGACAGTATCAAAATGTCGTACATCTTCAAAATTTTTTATCACCTGATGGAACTGATCGCGGATCTGTTGCAGTTTCTCGACAGGGTCTGCTAGGCAGTGTTCCGTTATTTCTATCATCTGGTGAAATCAATTGTGCTGTGAAGTTACTAATTGATTACTAAAGTGACTAACTAATTGCATTGGTTATCCAGGTATGAGATTTTAAATATAATAATAATTATCCTGGACAATTCACACTGTGTGAATTGTCCAGGATCTAGTCCCAAGCTAAGCAACTGACAATTAGAATTACTTTCGAGTTCGATGGATCTTCCGTACTATTCAAACGGGGATCGAAATTACGACGGCCTGAGCAGAGGTTCGAACCCGTATCGTTGCTTTCAGATAAAAGTCGGATCGGTTAGGTAGAAGTTGGCCTTCACCCGCTCCATAAATCCCTCTGCAGGTTTAATGTACCATCCGCACTCACAAAACGCACGTAAAAAAACTAATGAATAGACCTTAGATTTAAGAAAAATATCTGTAGGACGTGTCTAAAGTTAAGTATTATGCTAAGAGGATATGTTTCCTTTGAACTTTTAAACGACTAGAACGGTAAACGGTAGACTTTGTAACATGTCGTCTCCCTAGTGTACCTCTGTCTACCTATTCCAGCCGCCAAGCAACTAACTTTGTAAGCTATGTTTATAAAATAATAATAATTTATTCATCTCATCGTAATACACATTGAATAAAATAAAAACTAATATTGCACTCTAAGCAAAGGCCTTCACTCAGATGGTGGTGCAGCGTGTCACGTGTAGAGCTGAGTGTGATAAGGCAGTGAAAATGCAGGTTAAAGGGCATCATCAGACATCTCCGTTCGTCATCCGTATCTCTTTTATGGCAATTAAAATGATATCACGGATGTCACATGATAATGATATCCTAGTGTTGTTCATGTATATAGGCGACGGTAACAACTTAACGTCAGATTGTTTTTCATACAAATTGCATAAAAAAACTCTCACCTCATCCAAAGATATAACATAGTTCGTGAAATCATAGAAATATTTTATCTTGTAATATTTAACAACTGCGCTTCTCAAGTCACGCGCCATTTCATCATTCATTATTTTCACGAGATCCAAAAATGTATCCAGGGTGATGAGCGATATATTTTTTAATCTGTTGTAATTGGCTCGGCCTTGGTTGAATAAGTCCTTTGCTACCTGATACGTCTCAGAGACTAGATGATACTTTCGGTCTACATCATGTAGAAATTTTTCTGTGCACTACAAATTTAAGCCGAATTAAATTATGACGAAATCAGCCTGAGACCAACATGACAGTATACATAAATAGATGGATCTATTGATCATGTATTGACTCAAATAATATAAATACTTGATCGCCGTATATTTTTAACCTGTAATATATGTTTCAAGCGGCTGTAACAGTGTGAGAGCATACGTTCAGTCACTATTAAGAATCAATTAGGCGCATCCCTAGGCGTATACAAAAGGTAAAAGAAGTGCTGTTCGTGTCAGGTATTACTATTTTCTACCAATTTATTCTCCGGTTTCTACTTATTCTAAGGTTTATTTATTACTTTAGTTATCATAGATACTTACTTCACGTAGGCACAATATTGATAACAATAAAACAGTCACATCACATAGTTTCGGAATAACATTCATTGTTGCATCTGTTCGAAAGAGTTAAATATATATATATTGATAAAAAAAACATGGGCCATGTACCTAATTGGAAGGTATTGTCATTTAATGCAATGTTACGGATAAATTATTTACCCGTGATTATGGGGGAATGCAAGTATAATATTAAAACAGAACCAAAACGTTTCCCTTGAAACAATAAATAAATAAAAGAAAATCTGTATCAGAAAAATGTAATCAAGTCACAGAGTGCATTTTTCTAATTTAAATAGAATGTGGAAAAATATTATTTTATTTTTTTATAAGACAATGTAATACTACAAATATATTTTTTTTGGCAGTAACTGCATAAGTACTTTGTGACAGATAGTATAAGACAACGGACGAGCAAGTAATCACTTTATATATACCATGCTCATCGTTGCCAAAGTGAGAATTAATAAAAAAACTCAGCGATGATTTTGACAGATTATCATATTTTTAATATTTACGCGGGAATATTGATTCAGACAGAAAACTCATGCAAACAATAATCTCGAGACTCGACGTGTATAAGTCACTGAGCAAAAAAACTCTCAAATCTTTCTTACTTTAGAAGTACTCACTACGTTCTTTTACTACACGTACTACCTGGAGTAATATTTTTATTAAACTTACGTGACATTGTAATGAATTATTAATATACGAATAATAAAACAACTCTTATTTGAATAGGGATAAGGTAGAAAATATAAGATAAACATCACGTTTCCTCGCACGTTCCTTTTTTATTGACAATGAAATGTTCGTTTTAATTAGTTTATCGTAATTCAACAAAGATTGCGTTGTGAGTAACCACGTCAGGTGTTGTTGATATTGATGGCGTCATTTACGATATTTGTTCACATCATTATAAATTCTATGAATAAGATTAAAGAAAGTAGGCATAAGTCTAGTCTAATATATATAACTCAGAGGTGACTGACATAGTGATCTATCAACGCACAGCCCAAACCATTGGACGGATCGGGCTGAAATTTGGCATGCAGGTAGATGTTATGACGTGGCAGCCGATAAGAAAGGATTTTGATTAATTCTACCCCCAAAAGGATAAAATAGGGGATGACAGTTTGTATGAAACTTTGTCAATTTTAAACCGATGGGGCTGAGACTTTGCATGCATAAAGCTACTATGACGTAGGGGATCCACTAAAAAAGGATTTTGTTGAATTCCACTCCTAAGGGGATAAATTAACGCGAACGAAGCCGCGGGCAAAAGCTAGTTCTACATACAACCGGTCGATACGTTATTATACATTTCCTTTTTTCATGTTATTGATAACAAAATGCGATTATATGGAAATTTCTATTATTTTCGAAATTTCTATTTCACTAAGACAGGATTTTGATTAAATGGATTAAATAGGGGATGAAAGTTTGTATGAAACTTTGTTAATTTCAAACCAATCGGGCTGGGACCTTGCATGCATAAAGCTACTATGACGTAGGTATCCACTAAAAAAGGATTTTGATGAATTTCACCCTTAAGAGGATAAATTAACGCGAGCAAAGCCGCGAGCAAAAGCTAGTTATGTATATTATTTGTACTATATTTTTTTCTTTCTGGAATATTATTTAGAAGAAAACTGCATAAATGGTTAATATCTCAATAAATATTTTTTTTATTATGCCCTCTGGAAACCATCGTGATAAATTCCTGGTGAATTTGTCACGATGGGCTAACGATGATAAGATGAACATGAGGTTCATACATCCTCCACCAGCGTATACCGTTAGCGCAGGCGGGTGCACCATTACATTATCATCCATGAATTTAATTCAATTCAAAATATCTTTACTCAAGTAGGTATTCCAGACTCTTATGATACGTAAAATCTACCGTCAGTTCGGAATGATTTCGAGATGAGAAGAACTGACAAGAAACTCAGCTCGTATTCAAATAAATGTTGTACATATTTACAATGTTATCTTATAGGTATCTGCTTTAGATATGCAGTTCTAAATAGGCCAGGATCTTTTTAAGATCGTAGAAATTTCGCTGGTGAACATCTCATTCCCTCTTCGACCGCATTTAAAATTTAATGTTATTGCTTATTAATTTACGTAGTTTTATCATCGAATTGATGTACGATTACAATATTTATCAGTTAGTTATTGACAGACTAAGAAGGTTACAAAGGTTTGGCATGAAGTAGAAGAATGCAAATTATCACAAATAATTTATTTGTATGTGCAATTTATAAGGTAGTTACCAATATTTATGATAAGTTTATATATTAGCTGTCCAGGCAAACGTTGTATTGCTATATAAATTAATAATGCTATAAAAAAATATTAAAATATTGGTGATAAAGGGTGAAAATTTAGGGTTGTATTTATTTTTTAATATCACATAATAAAAAATAAAAATATTGTAGAAAATTTTTAGGGCGCACCACCCTTAACACTCTTAGGGCTATAAAAATCATTAAATAGTATAAAACAAAGTCGCTGTCGCCGTCTGTCCGTCCCTATGTATGCTTAAATCTCTAAAACTACGCAACGGATTTTGAAGCGATTTTTTTTTAATAAATGGAGTAATTCAAGAGGTAGGTTTATATATATAATACACCCGTGCGAAGCTGGGGCAAGTAGTTAGTTATAAATCTATTCTCAAACCTATTGAATATACATATAAAATTACAGGCGAGTAAGTACTCGCTAACTAAGTAGTTATAAATCTATTCTCAGACCTATTGAACATTTGCCGTTTCGGGGGAGTGTAACACGAAACTCGTGACATGAGAATTTTATATATTAGATGGAGAACAAATTAAGATTAAATAAATAGTACTAAGTATGTAACATGTTTATTTATTATTATAAATTGATAATTTACAAATTAATCATAATATTCACTTGATCAGGGGTGAGCAACACGCAGCTGAAGCGATATAATGCAATATTGAATCATATCATTACATAGTATAAAACAAAGTCGCTGTCGCTATCTGTCCCTATGTATGCTTCAATCTTTAAAACTACGCAACGGATTCTGAAGCGGGTTTTTTAATAGATACAGTGATTCAAGGGGAAGGTTTATATATATAGTACATGTACACCCGTGCGTAGCCGGGGCGAGTAGCTAGTTACATAGTATAAAACAAAGTCGCTGTCGCTGTCTGTCCGTCCCTATGAATGGTTAAATCTTTAAAACTACGCAACGGATTTTGAAGCTTTTTTTTTAAATAGAGTGATTTTAGAGGAAGGTTTATATATATATATAATTTTTATTTTATTTTGTTTAATTCAGGCGGGTGTAGATAATAGCTGTACACCCGTGGCGAGTAGCTAGTTTCGTATAATTTTAATAGAGGCCAATTTTCTAATTGCCTCCCTTAACAAGAAAAAGGGGGCCGATGTTGGGAATCGTTGGTTTAAATATTAAATGTTTAGGCTGTGTTTATTTTGAGTGATGTATACTTCACTCAAAATAAAACAGCATTTTAAGCCTGTTCATATTATAATTATGACACTAAAATTTGAGTGAAGTATACATAGTGTTCATATTATAGTTATGATATTAAAATATTGTGATTACTTTTAACTATAATAAATATGTAGTAAAATGCTTCACGTCGTCCGACATCCACGATGAGATACCTGTAAACAAATTGAATAATTTAGAAATAACTAGCACATCTATACATATAAATAAAATTGGAGTGTCTGTTTGTAATATTGAATTAAACGTTTTTTACTACATACATATGGATATAAATACGGTACATACACCAAAATAACATTTTTTATCTGCCTGACTGTTTGTTCCGACTAATCTCTGAAATGGCTAGACCGATTTTGACGGGACCTTTTTTGGCAGGTAGCTGATGTAATAAGGAGTAACTTAGGCGACTTTTATTTTAGAAAAATAAAGTTAAATTCCATGCGGACGCAGTCGCATGTACAGCTAGTCTATACATATAAATAAAATTGGAGTGTCTGTTTGTAATATTGAAATAACCATTTTTTACTACATGCATATGAATATAAATACGGTACATACACCAAAATAACATTTTTTACAATTTTTGTCTGTCTGTTTGTTCCGTCTAATCACTGAAATGGCTGTCGCCCTTGAGAATATTCCATTACTATCCATTACAGATAGGAAAAATTATAATTAGTGCTCGTTGGTAGTTTCTATTTACACGTTTCAAAATTAAAAATGTTACAACTATTACTTAAAAGGGTTAAAACAACACACGAGTTTCTTGTTCGTTTATCTTGTGATGAGACAGCTTTCCGAATTATTGGTAGATTAGAAGACGGATAACTTTGACTATTCAAAAGTGCATAAATTAAGTTAATTTGAATAATAGATTTATTCTATTCTAAAATACAATAAATTTTACGTTATGAACGTGAGCAAATTCATGTATGTCTATTACAGACTCTTATGATATGTTAAATCTACCGTCAGTTCGGAATGATATCGAAATGAGAAGAACTGACGAGAAACTCAGCTCGTATTCTTTTCAAATAATAGTGCAACATGTTTATAATAATACACAGTCATTAAAATTCAAATTTGGAGGAATAGAGTGATAGCATATGCTATCGCAAAGAACAAAAAATTTAATCAGTGTTCGCAACCTGAACAGACCAGTCCCCACAAGCAGCACCCGTTCACGAGTATGACGGATGAGCCAGCCATCACTGCGCTCAACCATATTTGGGGAGCACATCGACCCGGCCCACCACGCCGCCACAAGTTTGAACTTTATAGCGAGCATGACTGTTTCAAGTTACTCCACTACGTCATTTATATTATTTACAGCATACACTGTACCAATCACAGTTTTCACCCATTACAATATTAAATTTACAATATCTAATTTTATCTATTAATGTCCTACATGAATAAATCATTTTTGATTTGAATTGATTTAAAAAATTACCTCTGCCTCATCAGTCCTTGTGTAGGAACTTGTTGAAGGCGCCGTATGAGCTCTCCAGGTCGAACACCAACTGGCGGACCTGCGCCTCCGACAGCTCGTCCGATGCTGACATTTCTGACAGCTTGTCCAACCACTCTCGTACCTGTTATTAAATAGAATAGCAATAGAATAACAACTAAAGAATACGACCTGAGTTTCTTTTCGGCAGCTGGCCTTTACAGCTTCACCGGACGATAGGGGGCGAGTGTAGATGGCACTCACTTATGGAGCGGCTGAAGGCCAACTCCCGCCTGACGGATACGACATTAGTCTGAGGGCACCACTAGGGGTTCGAACCTCGGTTCCGGCTCGTAACATCGGTCCCGTTTGAATTGGATGGCGGATAGGTCTGAGGGGTCTGAGTTTCTAGTCAGTTCTTCTCATCTCGTAAGCATTCTGAACTAACCACACCCCTTTTGAATAGACAACATTTTATTAAATCTACCGCTTATTCGGAATGCTGTCTCATCACAAGAAGAATAAGTAAGAAACTTGTGTGTTGCTCTTTTAAACAATCCTTGTAAGTTCACATTTTACAAGTCGAAACGTGTGAATACAAACTACCAACCAGCACTAATTTATTTAGGCTCAAATATAAAAACACAATAAGATTAAATCAGTCGTAGTGATAAGAGCAGACCAGTTCCTACAAGCAGCACTCGTTCACGAATATGATGGATGAGCCAGTCATCACTGCGCTCGACCATATTTTAATGACCCGGCCCACCACGCCGCCACATGTCTGTACATTTTAGTGAGCATGACTACTCATTCCACTCAACCACGTCACAGCTACAAAAATTATAAAATAGACATCAAATGATGGTTAAGGCAAACCTTGAGTTTTCCTTCGAAGTCTTCTGGTAACATAAGCAGCCGATCCATGGTGTCGTGGAGGTCCCGCAGCTCGGGCTGGATCATGTCCATCGCACGGAACTCCAGACGCAGTTTATCCATGAGTGTGATGAATAACTGCAAGAAACAGGTGTTTTTTTTATAGCACAGGGGACAAACGAGCCTGCGGCTAACCTGATGGTAAGTGATTACCGCCGCCCATAAGCACCCGCAACACAAGGGATTGCAAATGTGTAATCCCAATTATTCCAATTATTTGTGGTCGTCGTAATATGTTTTTCTCTTCCATTCATCCCTGTTTGCAGTCATCTCGTTATTTACTTCCTTTCTTACCATATCATCTTTCACACAGTCCATCCATCTCTTTTTCGGCCTTCCTCTGCCCTTATAACTATCCACATTCATATGTAACACCTTCGTTAAGATATTATTCTCATTCCTACGCATTACATATCCCTACCACGATAGACGATTACTCATCAACCTATCCGACACCGGTCCCACTTTCATACTTCCTCTGATGTATTCATTCTTTATCTTATCCATTCTTGTCACACCACACATCCATCTCAACATTCGCATTTCAGTTGCATGCAGTTTCTTACCATATCATCTTTCACAAGTCCATCCATCTCTTTTTTCACCTTCCTCTGCCCTTATAACCATCCAAATTCATATGTAACGACTTCCTTAATATATTATTTGACGACCTCGGTGGTCTAGCGATCTAGCACACCGCTTTACGACCGATAGTCGCGGGTTCGATTCCTCACACGCCACAAACAATTGTATTCATGAGTATGATTGTTTGTATCGGTCTGGGTGTTCTCTATGTATAATATGTATGTATTTACAATAAAAATATATCTATGTATATGTATCTGTTATCTAGTGCCCATAACACAAGCTTAGCTAGATTAACTTGGGTCTAGATAGCGCTGTGTGAATTATCCTGAGATTATCTTCATTCCTACACATTACATGCCCATACCACGTCAGATGATTACTCCTTAACCTCTTCTCACCTTTGTGGTATAAAAAAGTTACAATTGTATTTACTCACAGACACAATTTCGGCGATGTATTTGTTTGTATTTCCCTTATCATCCTTTATCAGGTTTGGTTTGTTCTCCTTTATTCTTTCCAGTGCTGCCAGACAGTCTAACTGTAACGAAAGAGTATTGAAATTATATATTCAATAACTACAAAAATAAAATTTAACATTACTGTTATTCATGGAAAGTGGATGTGAAGGAAAAAGAAAAGATGGATAGACTGTGTGAATAATGTAACGGACGGTAGGGAAAAAAGTATGTAAAAACTTGACGTTCATAAGCGGCTAAAATGTCGTACTTGAATAAATGATTTTTTAATTTGAATTTGAATGTGAGATGAAGCCGCAGGTCATTGCTAATCATACTAATATTATATAAGCGACAGTTTGTGAGTATGCATGGATGGATATTTGTTCCTCTTTCATACAGAAACTATGGAATGGATTTTAATGAAATATTACAGTAATCTATACATATAAATAAAATTGGAGTGTCTGTTTGTAATATTGAAATAACCGTTTTTATATAAATATAAATAAGGTACAGATATTAAATAAAATAATTAGGTGTCGCAATAAGATACATACACCAAAATATGTTTTTTTACAATTTTTGTATCTGTCTGTCTGTTTGTTTCGGTTAATCTCTGAAATGGTTGAACCGATTTTGAAGGGACTATTTTAGCAGGTAGCTGATGTAATAAGGTGTAATTAAGCTACTTTTATTTTAGTTTTTTTTTTCTTTTAGTAAAATAAATTTCCATGCTGACGAAGTCGCGGGAACAGCTAGTATATGATATAAGAAAAAAAAACTCACCCTATATTTGTCAGTAAATGATTCTATAGTTGGAAACTCATCACCCTGCACCTGCTTGAACGCTACTCGGTACTGCACGAGCAGTCTGCTGCATGCCGCTGTGTATTCCTGGGCACGAACACAGTCTCTCATGTACGCCTTCTCCAGATGCTGTAATGTGCTTACTACAGCATATAGTTCGGCCATGTTATCATGCCTGGAATAAAAAATTGTTAATGGTTTAATAAATAGTACATATTTACTAATAAAATCTTTAGTCTGGTTTATTTCATGGCTTCCCTAAGCCTAAGGGCTTCTTGGGCTGCAGCCTAGGGCCCCGTAGATACAAAGGGCCCCCAACCCCCATTGAAAACAATAAGCATTATATTGAATTAAAAACAAATCTAGAGGTAGAATAAAAAAAAATTTAAATATTCAAAAGTGTTAAGTTTACTCCAATAGATTATTTTTATTTCTAAAATATTAACAATCCTATCATAAGGTTGGCAACACTGAGATCAATTAACCCATGCATGTGCGTGTCTATCAAACGGAATAGGGAATTCATATGCTTGTTTTTGGTTCCTATATTATTTTAGTTGTTTTAATAGAGTAATATATTTGTCACGATGGGCTAACTGACCTGACCTCATGCTCATCTTATCATCCTCCACTGGTCCCCGCCAACGTAAACCATTTGCGCAGGCGGAAGCACCATTCCATTATCATCCATTAAAAAAAAATAGAGTAATATAATTAGGTTAGCCCCTAAGTAATTTTAGCTCATGGCCCAACAAATTTACGGCCCCTGATCTCATATAATATGGATATTTTTTATTGCAAGGAGAAATATCTTGAATATGCTGTCACTGTCACTGTGGTTAAGACCTCATAAAGAAAGAGGGAGATAGAAAACACTAGAGGAGACCTTTCTCATTCAAATCAACATTGAACAGGGGACTTGTGTGACAATTGAAATATATGAATGTATCTATATTACAGAGGCACATAATTATTATATACATCATCTGCTGCTTCCTTATCCCATTTATTTGTGGTCGTAATATGTTTTTCTTTTATTTCGTCATCTCGTTATTCACTTCCTTTCTCACCATATCATCTTTCACACAGTCCATCCATCTCTTTTTCGGTCTTCCTCTGCCCTTATAACCATCCACATTCATATGTAACAACTTCCTTAAAATATTATGTTTATATATATATATATAGAAATTAATTGGATGGATCTGAATTTTTTGTAAATCTATTTACCAGACTTCAATCTGGATCAATATCAAACTTTTTTATTGTAAATATTGCCATAATTAAAACACATTTTATTGTTGGTTAGTAATACAATGACATCTGTTTTTTTTATGTATGATAATGGAATAGTGCACCCGCCTGCGCTTACGGTTTACACTGGCGTGGCATCAGTGGAAGATGATAAGGTGAGCATGAGGTCAGGTCAGTTAGCCCATCATGAGAAATTATCACAATGGTTTCCAGGGGGAACCGCATGAAGGTCAACCTGACAATGTACATTGCTAGCAATGAGATCCATATTATTAACAATCCCCTTTCCCCCCCGATGACGTCTGTTGAGACTATGTATATCACACATGATAGTGAACTGAGAAAATGTACATAAAATTATTGATCTTTTATAGGAAAATAAGATGACCTGAGATGAGTTAAGACATGGTCGTACAGAATATTTAGTCTGTCTTCCTTGCCATAATTAATTGCAAGTATTTCCTTAAAGTATAAGTAACTGTGTCCGATACATTTCTTTGGGGAAACGAAAAATCAATATAACGCATGATATTAGAATATATTAAAAATTCAAAAAGTAACTTACTTTTCACGTTCCCTGGCATTTCTGTAAAGCTTTACTTCTTCGTAGAGTTCAGGTCTGGTGTCTGTAATTATAAGAAATTGTAAATATTAATATTGAAACAAAGGTTGAATTGGCATGATATGTATACGGTCGAAATTACCTTGCATTTTACTAATTTAAATGCCACTATAAGAAACGAAATAAGAATTAAACGATGAGGAGAGACTTTAGAAGTGTTAACTATCTACAAATAACAAATATTTTAGTATTATTCCACTATTTGAAGAGATTAAAACTGGAATTCTTATATGAAAAAGAGAATAATAAACACTGACTAATTTTTTTTTTTTTTTGGTTTATTTATCCGTAATGGAAAGGCAAAGAGTCTAAGCCCATACAGCCGTTGTCTTTGGTATAATTTCTGTATTTTTATTTCTTTTTTCCTTCTTCAGATATCTTCTACTGTGGAGACAATATATTCATAAATTGGTTTGTATGTTTCTTGATTTTTAAGTAAAATCTGAATAGTGCGCGGGATATTCAGATCCTTGTAAATGGACATTAATTTGTCAATTAGAGCTAAACGTTGTATATTGAATTGTTGACAATCGAAGAGTAGATGATCCAGAGTCTGTACTTCTCCGCTTGAACAATAATTACACACTGGACTAGATATCATTTTCATTCTACACAAGTGTTCATTAAATCGTCCGTGTCCAATTCTTAAGCGACTTAATGTCGTATAAAATCTTCTAATTTTAATTTTTCCTTTAGTAAACCATGGGGATTTAATATCCTGTTGAATTTCTTTTAACCATTTTCCTTTAATTTTAGTAGATTCATCCCAAAGTTTTATCCACTGATTTTTAATCCTTTGCTTTATTTCTATAATAACGTCTCTGTCCGGAATTTTTATTCTCTTCTCTATTTGATTGACAGGACAGTTAGTTATTAAACGAGCTAATTCATCTGCTTTCTCATTACCAATTACTCCAATATGGGAAGGAACCCAAATTAGAATAATATCTTTATGTAATTTATGTTTCAGGTCGTGCATCTTACTGCGAATACTTTGAATTACAGAGGAAGCGGTTAATTTATTATGAGAATCGTTCGAAAGAGCCATCAAAACACTCATACTATCTGTTATGATTAACCATTTGTCACAGTCAAAAGTCTCTTTAATGTAGTCTAAAGCCTTAATAATCGCATAAGCTTCTGCCGTAAATATACTTGCATTTTTCGAAATTTTGGTACCACTTGCCATTTGTTCTGTGCCATCATATATAGCAATGGAAACACATTCTTTATTTTTTGCTCCGTCGGTGTATATTTGCCTATATGTGTTCCACCGCGACAGGTATTCATATACGTCATATTTATCTTTTAATGTTTTATTAATATTTATAGAAATTTGAGAATAGAGGGCATCATATGAGTATCCATAATAACTCGGAGATGGTTTAATATAGATATTAAAATTACGGACCCAATCAATAAATTCACTAACCTTTTCAGAAAGAAAAGTTTTTGGAAATGAAGAATCTAGTAGTTTAATTAGCAAGGTATTTTTATTTACAGAAAGTAATTTCAACAGAAAGGTAAGTTTTAAAAATTCAAATCGTAATCTTAATGGTGATAAGTAACACTCTACTTGCATAGAATTTATAGGTGAGGTATTCATAGCACCCAAAATTAATCTAAGATTTATATTTTGAATTTTTTTCAAGTTTTTCTACATAAACATTGTATTCACAAAAGCAAAAGAAAGCATATTCAAAATGTGTTCTAACTAACGATTTATATAACATCAATAGAGTTTTAGGATCTGCTCCCCAACGAGTGCCTACTAATGATCTAAGAATATTAGTTGACATCATGGCTCGATCTGCTAAGCAATCGACATACTTTTTCCAACACATTTTGTTTTGGAATAAAACGCCCAAAAATTTTACTTCCGATTCTATTGGTATAGTGTATCCATTGTATGTAACAGATAAATTTGAAAGATCTAAATTAAGATTATTATTCTCAAATAAAATCATTTTACTTTTCGAAGGGCTAATTTCTAAATCAAGATATGAAAAATATACAGATAGATTACGTAGAGCATTGTTTATTTTGTAACTAATGTCTGTTAAATTATTTCCATAGCAATATATTGCTAAATCATCAGCAAATTGAAGATTATGTACTTCTCTACCCAATACTTCATTTAATCTATGGACGTACAATATGTACAAAAGAGGACTTAATATACCGCCTTGACACACTCCGATATGCGATAACCGAGGTCCAAGACATGTATTATTAGTGAGCTTCACATATACTTCACGACCATTCATAAAATTAAATATCCAGCGTACTAATTTATTTGATATTCCAAGTGAAGCTAGAATGTCAGACATAACATTATGATTGATATTGTTAAAAGCACCGATAATATCCAAAAAAACACCAGCAAAATGTTGCCTATTTTTTTTAGTTCTATTTATGTCCATATATAAATGACATAAACTTTCGCGAGCCGAAAATCCACGTCTAAAGCCAAACTGATTCGGCGGTAATATATTTTGAGATTCGATAAAAAATTCGAGACGTTGTTTTATAAGTTGTTCAAAAATTTTTCCAAAACAGGATGTTAAAGTTATAGGTCGATATGAATCAGCTTGTGAAGGATTCTTATTTGATTTTAATACTGGTATTAAACAATCAGTTTTCCATTCATTAGGAATAATAGAATTAAGCCAAAGTAAATTTAGGATATTAAGAAACATTTCTAAATTGTTTTCATTTAATTTTTTTAGCATTTTATATGACATATTATCTAATCCTACAGCTGTATCCTTCCTACTTTTTACTGCTGTTTGAAGTTCTACTAATTTAAAGGGCTGATTAAAAAAACTATCAGTATGTTTAAAAGTGTCATCTATATAAAGAGGTCTTGAGACAAAATCAGGAGTATATTTGTGCAAAAAATCGTCAATCCATGGCATTAGATTGTTGTTATTACCTATATAAGTTTTATTTGAATATTTTTTATTAAATTTTCTCAAATTTTGCCAAATGGTTGAAATTGGTGTTAATCTATTTAAATTTGAGCAGAAATTTTGCCAGCTTTGTATACGTACATTTCTGATTGTTAATTTTTTTAATGCTTGCAGTCTTTTAAATGTAATATAATTGTCTATGGTAGGATCTCGTTTAAAATTGACATAAGCATTTTTACTATTTTGAACAGCTGATGCGCATTCTTCATTCCACCAGGGAAGAGGACAATGTTTATATTTTTTAATACTGTCACCTTGTGGATGCGACAATTTTTTCTGTATTGTTGACTTTCTGCCTAATACTATATCAACGGTGTCTTGCATAATTTTACAGAAGCGCTGATAAGTGATAATGGGATCATTCTCATTAATAGAAAAATCCTGTAATTTTGTATTAACTAAAATACTATATGTATCCCAGTTTATTAGACGCAAATTACTGTGATGAATTGAAACAGTACCATTAATTTGTGCTAAACTATGACATGGAGAATAATCATTTCCTACGGTTAGTTCGGTCACTATAGGGAGATGATAACTACCTATGGGGTCATCGTGTACATACCATTCACACATAAGTGCTATGGTCGGACTAACTATAGTTAAATCTAAACCATTAGGTTTCCATATATGAGTTCCTACAGTTGTAGCTTGAGTATCATTAAGTAAAACCAAGTTGCATTCGTCTAGTGATTCTAAAATATCTCTACCTCTAGGTTTAATGGTATCACATCCCCAAATAGTGTGATGTGCATTGAAATCTCCGGCAATAATGAATGGTTTAGGTATATTATTTATAAAATTTATGAACTTAGATTTAGAGAATGGTGTGGTACAATTTGTTGGGCAATAAACAGTAGCAAAAGATATTTTCTTATTATTAACAATAATCTGTACAACCAGATTTTGTAATCCATCATCAGACATTACATCAATTTTATTATATGTTATACTATTATGCAGTATAATAGCAACACCATTATGATGGTTACCTGAGTCATTTCTTACTATATTATATCCTTTGATTTTATATTTATGGTGTGGTCTTAACCATGTTTCACAAATTAATGCAATATGAATATTTTTACTATATAAAAATTGTGAAAATAAATGTCGATTGCTCAACAGACTTTGAGCATTCCACTGTACTATGTTTAATTTGCTTATTGTGAATTTTGAATACTATTTATTTTAGTACTGAAATTTTCAGTAAGCAGTTCTAGTACATTTTTAGAGCAAATTGATGTATTTTGGGTCTTATTTAATGTTATTAATTTAACAATGGTCTCTACAAGGAGGCCTAGTGATTTGTCATCATTTTTTAAAATTGAAATAATGTCATTATTCTGTTTATTTAGTCTGTGTCCAAGAGTGGGAAAAGATTTGAAAGTGTCTGCATATGAAGGTCTTTGTGCTTTATTTCTATTCTCAATTATTTTTTTTTGTTTTACAGGGCACTGTGATGAGACACTTATATGGTTCCCATCGCAATGGAAACACTTGGCATTATCAATTGGTGTAGTACATGTTTTAAAATTATGGTTTCCTTTACAAATGGAACATATCTCAGCATTCTTGCAAAACTTTGCAAAATGACCATACCTTAAACACCGGAAACATTGTTTAACAGGAGGAATGTAAGGTGAAATATCATGTCTCCAACCTTCCAGGTCCACATAGTCGGGCAGAACTGATGCAGCAAAAGTAATGGCTACTGTCTGTGTTGGCTGTAGATAAAAAGTAACATCATTTTTAACTTTTCTTAAAAAACGTCGAATACAAATAATTTTCTTATAGCTTGATAACATTGTGTAAATCTTCATATTGGATAAATTTATAGGGACATTTCTGATGACTCCTGTGACTTCGGTTGAACCTGCTGGAATGCTAGCTTTAAACTGGTATTCTTTCAAAAATGTTAAATTGTTTAAGAATGCATTTGCAAGACCTGGCTTCTCAAAGTAAACACCGATTTTATATTTATTTAGGCTTCTAAGGTATTTTACCCCTTTATTGAATCTTTTTAAGCAGGATGATAAGGATAAAAGATCTCTGGCGCCTATGGCGGTATTAGAATCAGTAGACTCAACGAAGACAACAAATTCAGTTGCACCGGAGTCTTCTGGGTATCGTCGATTATAATCAGTAACAAAATAAGGTTTATATAATACTTTAGGATCTGAATCTGCTTCTTCGTAATCAGACGTGGTTGTTGATTTACAATCGCTATCAGGATCGTCTGGAGATGCAGTTTTTTTCCGCTTCCTTCTATTCTTCCCCATGACGAGGGTGCAATACACTATTTAAATAGTAAACTATACAGAAATAATTAATATATAATGGAAAATGAAAATATAAAATCAAAAGAGCGCGCTTCCTTTCAAGCGTTCCCGCGACTTTTCATAAGAATCTCAATCACACTGACTAATATGTTTGACAGTTCATTTGACATTGACAACTTTATTTCCCTTGTTGCCAAAATATTCCGGTTAAATATTAAGATTTGGTAATAATGTAGTACAAAAATTCAAAATCCTAGATTTGTTCTTAGGGAATCTATTTACCTACGTATCGACTATAATTACTTGTCTTTTGTAAATTACAGTAGTATACATTGAGCATTTCTGCTTTATCGTGTATATGAGTGTATTGTGTATAAATAATATATGTAATTTAATAAAATTATTGATTTTTAATTACATTTAATGCCAAAAATTTGAATAAGCGTTGTGATCGTCATCTTTTATAATATTTAACATGTACGTGGTACATACATACATTGTGTTGAATTGTTAATTAAGTTGATTACCTTCTTTCCAAGGCTCGCAATCATAAAAAAAGATAACTGTCGTGGTGACGTAATCTTCCAATATGGCGGATGACGCGCGCATTCCCTCCCGCCCCCTACTCTAGTTTGTTTCGTCTCGGTTGAAGCAACCGACTCGTCCCGAGTCCTACTCGTCTTGAATGATTTCACCTTGCAATGAATGAATATTGTTTTAGACACCCCGTGTACAAATTGTTCACATAAGTAACTCGTCGTCGGGACTAATAAACGGTGTTTACAGTGTTCTATTGGTGTATCCGTGGTGACAGTGGTATTTACAATAATTTCTCCCTATTGTGTGACCGTTGTGTTTACGTGCTGAAAACATTATCTATTGTGGAAAATTGAGCTAACCGGCTTTAAAATTTCCTGTTTAATGGGATCTTGTTGACGCACAGGTAAGCAAAATTATGTTTTAAAATCTCAAATGCGTATTACTTTGTTTCAATTACTGCTAATTTGTGTTATTTTCAGGAGTTTAACTGCGTGTTAAGTTAAGGGTAATTGCGTAAAACGAGAGTTAACTAGAATCTGTATAATAGTGTCGTTGCAATGTTTATTTAACGTTTATTTAAACGATACAATTCGTATTGGAATGTGTTAACTGCCGTGCCACGGGCGAGGTACGTATCTTGGGCGCGGCGCCGGCTGTCCCACTTTTCTAGATAGCATAATTTGTACTCACCTTTAAAAATGCGCGTGTATATACCCATTATTTTAGTAATGCATATTAAAGTTTATTAAACATTTATAATCTATACTAATGCTATTATAAGCTAACCATACAGATAAAGTACGATATATGCAGGAAATTGGAACATGTTTTTGAGGTTAATATTAAATTAACGTTTGAAATAAATCTATATTTAACATCGCAATATATTATTTAACGGGTTTATGTTGGACATTGTATTAATATTTTGTCATAAATTTGTGATTATAAGCATTTACAAATACAATGTATATTTGTAAAATAAGTTCCATTATAGTGTTTGTTATCTGCTGTGAAGTGTAATAACTTAACAAATATTTTTGTCCCGTGGTTAGGCATGTGTTAGTAATAATATTCTGCTTATTAGATTCTCATAAAATTAATAATAGTACAAATGAGAGTCTGAATGTGTAATATAGTCTACAATACACTAGTCTTATAAGTAGTAGTTGTCCATTGATGAATTTTTTTATATATTTCGGTTGTAGTCTGTGTTTTTAAATATAGACTTGAAACCAAACCAAAAAGCAGCTCGGAAGGTCTTAGAAACAAGTTATGACATGTTCCTCCTGAAGAGGTACTGTTTTCTAAAGTATAAGTTCTTAAGTACAAAAGAGTCCACATTGAAGGAATATATTTGTGGATTATGACATTATATAAATAATAACAAATCTGATTATAGCCATTAGGCTGGTTGCAAGTAAAAGTGAGAAAAAAAAATGTAATATGTCCATCTAGTATTACCTATGCTGGCCATGGATCTTGTTATATTTTATTTTCAACATTTCTTCTCTTATACTGGTGTGATGGATTTATGTTTGTGAATTTCCTTAACCTCTTCTGATATTTAAAAAAAAATGGTCTAAGACATTTAAAAAAATAACAGGTAAGTATATGCTTTCTTATATGATACAATAATCCTATTAGAACAGTGGGGAAAGGGATTGTTAGTAATGTAACCTAATTATTCCATCGCTAGCAATGTTAGGTTGACTTCGACACAGTTCCCCCTTCGAAACCACTGTGACAAATTCCTAGTAAGTTTGTCAGTTCAGTATCCCATTGAGTTGTTTGGACTGACCTGTGACCTCCATAGACCTACAATGAGAGTCACTGGCAGTTTTTATATTAGTTTATCGATATTTAAAATATGAGGGTTCTTTTTATACATTTTGTTTTATATTATTTCTGTTACTGCTCTCTGCTATAATAAATGTCTCTACAAGCATCTATATCACTTTTACTCCATGTTATTCCCTTTTGAAACCACTGTAACAAGTTCCTAGTGAGTTTGTCAGTTCAGTATCCTGGTAAGTTGTTTGGACTGACTTGACCTCATGGTCATCCTATCATTTTCTACAGCCAGCATATACTGTTAGTGCAGGCAGCTGCACTATTTCAAATTCAATTCAAAGCCTTTATTAATCAACACTAAATTATACAATCTAACAAAAATATTTAATATTAGAAATATTAGTTACATATATGTATGTGACTTTTAATTCTGCACATCAGTCTCTGAGTCAACATGTCCTTTAGACACAAAGGCCTCCTCCAGCATTTTACATGTGTTCCTATCTTTTGCCAATCGGAGCCATAGTGGGCCGGCAATCTTTCTAAGGTCATCAGACCATCTCCTGTACTGTCTTCCTCTTTTTCGTTTCGTTTTATAACAATATTTATAACGCACATCATTAACATTCATTATCTAAAGTTTATTGTTCTCAAAGAGTGAACAATAAATTAGCAACATAAAAGATGCCAGTTTCTTTCAGTATAATAATGCTACGTTTACATTCAGCCGCTTCCCCTGCCACTCGCGCTGCCGGAAATATTGCCGGGCGACAACTGAGCGAGAGGATTGAATGTAAAAACACGCTGCCAATCGCGCTGCCAGTCCTTTGACTCGCGCACAAGAAACCGACAATCGAGGGAGCGCCGGGCAGCGCGAGTGGCAGCGCCAATGGCATGGGAAGTGTTTACACTCTCGCGCTGCTCACTTCCCTGCTCACTCGGGTTGAGTTTAAATTGGGCTAAGATGTAGTCAACAATAACATTCAGTTGAGTAGATATGGAAATATCTCTCTTCTTGAAATCCATTATTGTACTTTTGAATAGTCATATTAATTTTTTTAATCTACCGTTCATTCAGTAAGCTGTCTCATCACAAGAAGAACGAAAGTGAAACTTGCATGTTGCTCTTTTAAATAATGATCTTATAAGATTGATAAAAATCTAACTCCTTAAACAGATTTTTAAGTTCTAAGAATATGATAATAATGTGATAATGTATGTATTTATAATTGACTTGAAGAGAATAGTTTGGGTAAATTTAAATTCTGAAATTCTAATGTGGCAGAACATAAAAGGACATTATATTTGACAATGACAACTTATATAGATCTATGTTTATCGCAAAATAAAATAGATTTTATTTCAATTAAAATTAAATATTATGTGAATTGTACACCCGCCCCCGTCCTCGACCTTACCTCGCGGGTGACATCACCCGAGAATTGAATGTGTTACGATCTGATGACATCATACTGTCACGGTGACGGCGCTCACCCGGCTCTCTTAATTCAAGCTAATTGAATGCACTGATACTGATGCTGATTGTACGCTATCCTGTACATACATACATACCGTTATTTATATAATATTAATACTAGATTTAAAGACAAATTTCCTGCCTCCAAGTATCTCGGAATAAGTATAAATCTAAATATATATTACTCAAAGGTGACTGACTTACATAGTAATCTATCAACGCACAGCCCAAACCACTGGACGGATCGGGCTGAAATTTGGCATACAGGTAGATGTTATGACGTAGGCATCCGCTAAGAAAGGATTTTGATTAATTCTACCCCCAAGGGGACAAAATAGGGGGTGAAAGTTTGTCAATTTTAACCGATCGGGCTGAGACTTTGCATGCATAAATCTACTATGACGTAGGCATACCTTAAGAAAGAATTTTGATAATTTCCATCCCTAAGGGGATAAATTAACGCGAGCGAAGCCGCGGGCAAAGGCTAGTTTGCAATAAGACACCAAAGCATATACTGGAATTACCCTTAAATAATTTCAAGGCATCCGTTAAATCATATTTACTGAGCAGAGCTTATTACTCACTGAACGATACTAATATAGATGTAACGACGATGGCATGGCAATAGTTGTTCATGCACTGGATTTTTATTTAACGTTAGACATAGACACCTATAAAAAATATTCATTCATTCATGCATATACTTAAGAGCTTGTCGGTGGCCTATATATAAATATACATTGTAAATAAACTGGCATTTAAAAAAAAGTAATTCAATTGAGTTCCTTTCCAGTTCTTCTCAATTGGATCTATATACTGAACTGGACGGTAAAATAAAGTATAATATAAAATTGACGTTCCTAAGCGGCTAAAATGTCCTACATGAATAAATGATTTTTGAATTTGAGTTTATATTATTACCAGGTCTTCACACGAATAATTTTATGGCAAATAAAGTGTTAAGACCCAGTTAATAGTATAAACAATGTGTATTAAACACGACAGTTTAAAAATAACTACACTTACATGTGTTTTAGAAATAATTATACACGTTTTTGTTACCAGAGACTAAATTGACAGGTGTCTATGTAAATTTTTCATAGACACCTGTCGATTTAGTCGTATCCTTCAGGCAGGAGTTGGTCTTCAGCCGCTCCATAAGTCCTTCCTTTGGTTTGGAGTGCCATCTGCACTCGCCCCCTAACGTCCGGTGAAGCTGTAAAGACCAGCTGCGGCCAATAGCATTGGAGTAGTCCGAAAAATAAATGTCGGATTGTCATTCCTATTAAATTCCATCATATGTGCTGTCAGTTTATTTGTCATTCCAATTATATACAAAATACCTCCTCCATTTTGTAAAATCTAATGGTTCTTTAATGGAGTGAGTAGAGCTGAATACGGTCCAATGAAGAGAGGTATCACATCACAATAGAGGCGGACTAGCCACAATGCCCCGGACGCATGACGACATTTTGATTGAATAAACGCTATTATACCGTTTACTGATACCAGATAAATAAATCTAAATATATATAACTCAAAGGTGACTGACGTAGTGATCTATCAATGCACAGCCCAAACCACTGGACGGATCGGGCTGAAATTTGGCATGCAGATAGGTGTTATGACGTAGGCATCCGCTAAGAAAGGATTTTGATTAATTCTACCCCCAAAGGGGTAAAATAGGGGATGAAAGTTTGTATGAAACTTTGTCAATTTTAAACCGATCGGGCTGAGACTACCTGCATAAATCTACTATGACGTAGGCTCCCCTAAGAAAGGATTTTGATAAATTCCACCCCAAAGGGGATAAATTAACGCGAGCGAATTCGCGGGCAAAAGCTAATTGATATGAAAGGTCCATAGCTGTTCTTCATATTTATTACAAGCTCAGACTTTTTACGAGTATATTCACCAATTACTGCTTAGTATTTGATGTATATATGTTTAACCTCACGATTGGTCATTTCGACCGCTAACAATAATCGAAATATCTAATTAGAAGGATGTTTTTTTTTATTCTATTAAATATTGAGGGTTTATTCCGGAGAATATGCCACCCCCATCGGTGCAACAATACAAAATATTTAAATTATGATACATTTCTGTCGTAAATGCCACTTTTCTAGCAGTCG